CTGTAGTCCCAGCTACTTGGGAGGCTGAAGCAAGAGAATTGCTTAAGCCCAGGAGTTGGAGGTTACTGTGAGGTGTGATGCCACAGCAGTCTACACAGGACAATAGCTTGAGACTCTGTCTCAAAAAAAAAAAAATTTTTAAAATAACCCAGCCGGGAGCCGCAATGAGCACCTGTAATCCCAGTGGCTTCAGGAGGCTAAGGCAGGATGCTCACATACAGGTCTGAGGTTGCAGTGAGCTATGACAACACTGCACTCTGCTCAGGGCACAGGGTCGGACTGTCTCAACAAAAAATAAGTACACTTTACCCAGGGTGACGGCTTCAGACTCTGTCTCAAAAAAAAAAGTAAATAAATAAATAAATATTAGCCAGGCATGGTGATGTGGGCCTGTAACCCCAGCTACCTAGGAGGCTGAGATAGGATAGGAGGGTCTCTTCTTGAGCCCAGGAGTTCAAGGCTAGCCTTATCAACACTGTGAGACCCTGTCTCAAAAAAAAAAAAAAAAGTCATAGAAACAAAGTATAATGGTGGAAATGGGAGCAAATACTCATACCTGTAATCTTAATATTCTAGAAGGATAATGTGAGCTTAGGAGTTCAAGACTAGCCTGAGTAAGAACAATAACCCATCTCTAAAAATAGTCAAGCGTTGTGGCGGGCACCTATAGTCCCAGCTCCTCAGAAGGCAGAGGCAAGAGGATTGCTCAGGCCCAAGCTGTTGAGGTTGCTGTGAGCTGTGTAACATCACAGCACTCTACCCAGGGTGATATCAAGACCAAGACTCTGTCTCAAAAAAAAAAAAAAAAACCAGAACTGTGGTTACCAAAAGCTAGGGGGGAAAGAGAAGGTGAACTATTATTTATTGAGTTTTACATAATTAAAAAATTCTAGAACTCTTTCACAACAATGTGAATTTATTTAACACTTTAAAACAATTAAGATAGTAAATATTACTTTTTGAGAGAGAGAGAGTCTCACTCAGTCACCTTGGGCTCAAGGGATCCTCTTGTCTCGGCCTTCCGAGTAACTGGGACTACTGGCACCCACTGTAACACACAGCTAGTTTTTCTACTTTTAGTAGAGACAGGGTGCCTCTTTGCTCAGGCTGATCTTGAACTCCTAAGTTCAGGCAATCCACCAGATTAAGCCTCCAAAAATGCTAGAATTACAGGCATGAGTCACCATGCTTCACCTCAATTTTTCTTATTACATCAAAATTTCCCTGCTATCAGCCTTCAGGTTTGACTACACTTGATTAATGCCTACTTTCTATCATACTTCTATTATGATGGGTTCTAAAAACCCTGTTTTATAGATAAAACTTAATTACAGAAGGGGAGATGACTGACTCAAAATCACCAGCAAGAAATGACAGAATTGGGCAATACGTATGGCTCAGTGAGTAGGGCGCCAGCCCCATATACCAAGGGTGGCAGGTTCGAACCTGGCCCCGGCCAAACTGCAACAAAAAAATAGCAGGGCATTGTGGTGGGCACCTATAGTCCCAGCTATTTGGGAGGCTGAAGCAAGAGAATCACCTAAGCCCAAGAGCTGGAGGTTGCTGTGAGCTGTGATACCACAGTGCTCTACCGAGGGCAACAAAGTGAAACTGTCTCAAAAAAAAAAAAGAAAGAAAGAAATGACAGAATTACAATTCAAATTACAATGATCTCCTAACTACAACTGAAAACTTGACTTTACTTTGTTATTTTAAACAGCTTTATTAAGAAATAATTCACTCGGCTTGGCACTCGTAGCTCAGTGCTCAGGGCACCAGCCACATACACTGGGAGTGGTGGGTTCAAACCTGACCCGAGCCTGCTAAACAACAATGACAACTACAACAACAACAAAAAAAATAGCTAGGAGTTCTAGTGGGTAGCTGCAGTCAAAATAAAAACAGGGCGGCGCTGGTACTCAGTGGATAGGGCACTGGCCACATGGGTCTGCTAAACAACAATGACAACTGCAATAAGAAAAATAGCCGGGCATTGTGGCAGGTGTCTGTGGTCCCAGCTACTTGGGAGGCTGAGGCAAGACAATCGCTTAAGCCCAAGAGTTTGAGGTTGCTGTGGGCTATAACGCCACAGTACTCTACCAAGGGTGACATAGTGAGACTCTGTCTCTTTTCTTTTTTGAAACAGAGTCTCACTATGTTGCCCTGGGTAGAGTGCTGTGGTGTCATGGCTCACAGCAACCTCAGACTGTTCAAGGGATTCAAGGGATTCTCTTGCCTCAGCCTCCCAGTAGTGTAGACTATAGGCGCCTGTACAAAGCTCAGTTATTTTGTTTGTTTGTCTCTTTTTAGCAGGCTCAGGCCAGGTTCGAACCCACCACAGTGCAAGTGGCTAGCACCCTAACTGCTGAGCTACAGATGCCAAGCCTGGGCTTTATTTTCTTTTATTTGCATTTTATCTTTTCTGTGAATTCACAGAAAATAAGAACTTTACTTTCTTAAGATTCCCATCCCCTGCTTGACTGCTCTATCTAATACTTACCTGGGTTCAGTGGAAACAAAACTTAAAATTAATAAAATCAGATAGAAATCAGTCAGGACTGATCAGTCTGCACAGTGTAGTGAGATCTAAGAACAACACTCAGAAGTGTCTCAGACACTTACGTAAGGTTAAATTTGAAGTTAAACTGCCAAGTATTGATTCCAGAAGGATATTCTCCCTTCTCATTCGTGAATGTAAGACCCAGCTGGATAATTTTTAAAAGGTCAACATTGCACCGCAGAAGCTGATACTGGTAATCTATCGAACTACGAAATTCACCAATTGGTCGCACCACAACACCTGGAAATTCAGTGTCCTGGAAAAGGAAAAAAATCTCTCAACATAAGATTTAACAAAATAGTGGAGGTTGAATTGATAATTTATAAATAAAATTTTACCTCAATTCATAAGTTACATGACAAGTCCCAAACTTGGGCATAAAATTCTATCTTAAGGGGATGGGTAAATTCATGCCCACTGAGTACAGGGCACACTATCTGGATTAAAGGCACATTTATAACTTTGACTCAATCTGTATAAAAACAAAATGTGTAAACAAGATATCTGTACCCCCTAACATTCTGAAATGAAGAAAAAAAAAAATCAGGAGGCACCTGTGGCTCAGTGAGTAGGGCACCGGCCCCATATACTGAGGGTGGCGCGTTCAAACCCAGCCCCGGCCAAACTGCAACAAAAAATAGCCAGGCGTTGTGGCGGGTGCCTGTAGTCCCAGCTACTTGGGA